GGGGGTCGGTGAGCCGAGAGCCGGGATCATATATACTGCATGATCTTACACAGATACATACTCTAGTCTATGTATTTGTACGTAGCTAGCCTATGGGCATATATGTATATGCTTGGACACCGATTATACATGTGCATATCAACTCCGTCCTCGTGATGACCACGCCACCAAGCACTCAACGGTTCGATCATGCGTGTCCAACAAGGCATCCAGAGAAGGAAACAACCATCAGTGTCAATGTGCAAACACGCAAGGTCGATTGTGCGTTGATAAACCGTTGGAAAGAACTGAGGCTTATACCGCGCCCCTGCCATGGTCCGGAAAAGGACAAAACCTGAACCACATTACCGAACATTGGGTCAGTTTCAGGCATAGAAGCAGCTGCAGGCAGCAAGCCGGTGCCTCCGTGCTGTGCAGCTCAAGAGCCTTGTCGCTCACCTGTTACGGCGTTCCGGCTTATAATAGGCTAAACCCTGTAAGCCCTAAACCCTAAAGCCTGAACCCTAAACCCTATATAAGAGCCGAGAGTTCAGGGTTTTTGACTTTCTGCGCGTCGTGAGTGTACAAAGCTGCCCTCCCACATCGAATTTGCGAAATCGATTTAGAAACGGATTTGTGTGCGCATACAGAGTCGGTGTCCCTGCGGGTGGCGGTGGGTCGGTTGTGGTCCAGGGAGATGGCCTGAAGACTGGAACCGCAACCCGCCGCCAAACCCCAAGACGATAACCATAACCCCAAATTGCCAGACTCCTGAAACACCCCACCCAAGTCCCCCAACCCTAAACCATAAACCGACACTTCAACAGCAGCCTTTCTAGTAGCACCCTTACGACTCCTTGACTTGACCTTATACCGGCAGGATAAATAGCATAGGAAACAGCTCAAAAGCAGAATCACCTAAAACTCCTACCCGCACCTCCAACATCCAAACAGCTCATTCCTACCCTCCCCCTGTCAGCTTCGACAAACGTGTAATATACGGGCCTCAATAATTGTATTAGGTTCTTACTTGGGGTCCTTTATAGTATAATATTCATAGGAACCGCCAAAATGAAATACGAACTTGATATCGGTAACCTTATACTACACACAGGGCAAGGTGGCGAGGAGTGCTGTCTGAATGAAGCCGCGCGTTTAGGGTTTATGATTTAGGGGTTTCCACCATCTAACATGACAGTTGAAATCAATGGCCAGGCTCTACGCGAAATCGGGTGGGACTCGGCATTCGCCACACAAAACATCATCGTGTGATGAAGAAACGTGCGACAAGGGGTCTTAGAGGGCTGATATCGAAACATGCCTCTTTGTTGAAACATTTGGGCGGGATGCGATGAATAGAGCGGTCTATGAAACCCTGGCGGTTCTTGGCCCCCCCAGACTATTTTAGATGGTTCGCGACTTCCAAACATCTACATACATTTCGAGAATACCGTTAGTAACTGTGACATTTGTAGAGAGTTAACTTGAGTAGTGACGGTAATAATAGCAACAACAATGACAAACAATCGTTTAAACCCTAAACCTCTAAACCCTAAACCCTAACCCTAAACGCTATCATTTGCTTGAAAGACATAGCCTCATTGAGCTCCTTTCGGAACTGCGTCACCTGATGGTTTGGTGGGTTTTGGTGTTTAGGGTTTTGGGGTCAGGGTTTAGGGTGACGGTTGTGGGGTTTGAGGCTTAGGGATTAGGGTTAGCGATTTGGGGTATAGGGTTTAGGGTTTGGGGGTTAGGGTTTAGGGTTTTGGGGCAAGTTGTGGGTTAAGGGTGTGGGTTTTGGGGGTTTGGGTTTAGGGTTTTGGGGTTAAGGGGTTTGGGGTGCCTATATAACACTGAGACTCCAAATGCCCAATTGTAGATACCATTTATAGGCTTTAGAAACCAACATATGTGCTGTTGTATACTTGCCAACTTAGGGCTGATTATGGGGGCTCCTTTAAAGGGATCCTTAAAGGGTTCTATAAGGGATCTATGATCGGGTTCTCTTTTAGGGGGTTTACAGCTTAGAGTTGGGGTTTCAGCGCTTTGGTTTTCCACCTTTCTGGTGATTGGGTTAAAGGTCGTGAAGGTCTGGCGGTACTTGCTTCGGACGCTTAGCGTTGGACTGAGAGACTTAGGGTTTGTGGGATTGGTTCAAGCTCTGGACGTGTATAGATCCTTCAGGTTCGTGGTTTGCTGCCATTTGGTGTCTTAGTTCGAGGACTTTTGTCTTTCCCATGTTCAACCTTCGAAAAAGAATTGCTTTGGTAGTTCACCTTGCGGCTTTGGGCTTCACCCCCAAAAGGTATAGTCTAGTATAGTCCTTTCTTGCGCCACCTTATTGTGGTACCCCAGAAGTACTACAACGCAGGGTCTAAGTAGATCCCCAAAATGACGGGAGACTCTACTTCGCCACCATACTGGCCTGTTTTTGTGAGTTATAGGATCCTAACTATAGCCCCTGTGGGTTGGACCCGATGATAGTAGGAACCAGAAAAGGAGCGTAGATGGATGCTGGCCCCTAAATCGCAAATCCCCAACCGTGAGCTTTGCGTAGCTCATTGCATTGGGAAGCGCCCTGACAGTGCTAACCCTAATCTGTCTTGGTACCATATTGAATTAGACTGTGGGGTTTAACGTTTAGTGTACTAGCTTGTACTGTAGGTTGTATTATACTGAATTATGCTGTTCTCTTTTGTACGGTTCTGTCGTGCAGACTTAGGACGTGAAGATGTATGGGACAATGTACACCCTTGGGATTCAAGGCACTAGCTGTGGGTCTAAAGATTCGCAATCGAACAGCTGCGCAAACTTCTGCTCACATTGGAGGCAGGGCCCCATAGATAGGAGCCTCTTCGCAAGCGCAGTCAGTTTGCGACCGCACTCACTGTGATGTTAGTGGCCTGTTTGGAACATGCTAGAGTTTGCAAAAAAGAACAACTGTCCTCTGCCGTCGCGATCGTCGAACGATCCCGCCCCAGGCCCTCCCTTGTCAACCCGAGCACACCAGAAGATGTATGTGTTTTTTGCTGTAGGGTTTATAGGTTCATGGGGAGGGCGTCCTTGGCATAGGCAGTAAACTTCAGTAAACCCCGAACCCCACAAGCCTTTACTCTAAACCGCTGAGCACAACTCCGTGAGAAGCAATCCCAAAGTCCGTCCGTTTTGCTCAGCCCCCTAAACCCTAAACCCTGAACCCTTAACCCTAAACCATCTTGTATCAAGAATCGGTCGGAGCCTTCGTGCAGGGTAACATCCTCCGGGCTAAAGCTTTGTGTGGTACAGGTCTTATTGCAGCTTACAAATCCCGCCCCGAAGACGAACTTCCGCAAAATCACCTGCAAGAACGGGTCCATTGCGTGACGTCTCACCGAATATCCCACTAGTATCGCCGTGAAATGCTGAACCAGCAGCTGGAACATACCTACCCGAAGCCCTGAACACTAAACCGTCGAGAGCTTACGAATGTTTATCTCTGTAAGTTGATTATGCATATGTAGACATCTGAGGTCACTGCACGCTCCTCGTACGACTCGTGAGGAACCACGTCGAGCAGCTGTTGCCTCGACATAAGGGACGCACTAAAACAATTCCACAACTTTCCACAACTTTTGAAACTTGAAACCGTTACTCCATGTTAGCCCCCTGCAGAATCTCCCGAAACAGGGTCCGTGAGAGATGGAACTTCGCGGCTTGAGTCATTGTTGACTGAGGAGGCGCCGTTTATAAGCTCTACGACTTTGTGTACACGGTTGCACGGCTTGGGGCGAGTCCAGTGTTGCAAGCGTGGACTTAAAGAAGAGCGCTTATCTGTATAGATCCACGTCTGTCTTGTAAATGCCCTCATCTACTCTACATGCGCATAGAAGCAGGTGGGTAGTCCGTAAGCATGCGGGTAAAGACAGTGACACATATGTAGCATGAAAGGCATTTCTATGTGCATGCATGCAACAGAGTCGGCACGCGCAGAGACACGTTAATATGCATACCTACGTTAACTACCATGTCCATCTGCACGTTGATATATGTGCACGCACATGCATGTTTACATGGAATGGCTATGTGTACACGCGCACACTAGCAGAGTGGGTAAATAAGTGCATCAACCAGCACGTGGGGTTGGAGGTGAAAGAGTCACGGGTAGTTCTTTTGAGAGTCCCTCAGGTGTGCGTTTTTCGGATATAGTGGCTTTAATGGCTAGAAAAGGGTTTGGAAGTATTTTTTACCGTAACAATATACCCTGAACCCTAAACCCCAAACTTATAGCTATATTAAGGGGCATTGACAGGACCCTAAGCAACACGATTCTGTTGATCGAAGCTCAGCAGGGATACTTGCACTACTTCTAATTGTAGATTCTTTTGTGGTTACCATATAGAACCGTTAATGTATAGCTGGTTAAACCAAGACAAGAAGTACAACGGAGACCATAGGAAGTGCATCTTTCACAATTATTCCGGCCGCGAGTTTTAGTACGACTCTGAACCCTCGACCCTTGATATCTAGAGCCAACCTTACGCCAAGTAAACCCCGAAACCGTCAACACTAAACTAGGGCCCCAGCGCCAGGTAGCGGACGTTGCCGAAGTCGCCAGCCACAGCTGCAGAGCTGGGCAGTTGGGAGAGCTCCGAAATCTTTTCCAGGACCTGGCGCTATCATATGGGTGGCTTGGAGGGTTTATATGGTTTATACGGGTCTTTAACGGTTCTGTAGTAATTAAAGGGTCTGTTTGATTGGCATGTTCGGACTTTTGGGCTTCACGGCTTTATATGGGCATTTAAGGCTTAGGGTTTCAGAGTGTAGCATGTTTCAAGTGTTGAGGCATACCTGGCATCGCGGAAGCATACGCAAAGGATCTTCCAGGCTCTTCCGGCCGGTTTGTTGGGAGTTGGTTTAGGGCGGGGATGTGGTGGGTGATAATCCGCTGCCTGGAACCAACCCGTGTCTGGAACAAAACCCTCGTTGGAACAATCGCCGGGCTGCAAGAAGCTCCAGGTTGGATGACGTCGCCCCGTGTCAAGGGGCCGCCAGTTCTGATGAGCAAGTGCAGTCCGGAACCCGTGATGACGGCAAGGTAAGGCGCCAGCGTTTTTGTCATCCACATCTTCGTTGCAGCACGGATCAGACGCCGTCTGGCGACTCCGTGAGCAAGGTGATCCATCTGCACACGAAGAAACTTAACAAAATGGCGATTCACGTAGCAAGAGCCTTTCCGCACAGGCAGCACTTCTTCTTGGGAACAGCACTGCGGAAGACGGGACCTGAGCAGAGCAACAGCTGGAGTGGGACACAGTGCGGACATCCGAGCACTGGGCGAAGTTTGGTCTCCAGAACCGTTAAAGTCGCAGGTGGAAGCCCCTTGCAGCAAGCCCGTCACAAGAACAGAGACCTGGACAAGGGGCCTGAATCCAGGTGACAAGCGTGTCCAGATGCTCATCTTTGGAAAAGCGGGCAATAAACATCGTCTTCTGCTCCTCTGCTGATACTTGCCTGACCAACAAAAACAGTCAAGTGACAACTGTTTGCTCAGAGACGACCTGGCCATCGTCAATGATGAAGTTCGGGGAGCTACAGCGGACGATGCGAAAAGAAAAGCTGGCGGGATCAAAGTTTGCAAAAAAGTGACTTGGCTGTTAATTTCTAAAGCAGCTCAAACTTTGAAATGCTCCAGTGACACTCCGATTACTGAGCAAAGTTTGACCAAAATCCAATTTTGATCTAGAAAATCAAGCTTTGCAGGCTCAAACTTTGAACCTGTCCCTTGAAGGGCTTGAGACGGGGCTTCAAGGGGGCTTGAGAAGGGGCTTGAAGCCTTTTAGGAGAATTAGGAGACCCCCCTTCTCAAGCTCCCCTTGAAGCCCCTTCTTCAGCCCCAACCACGTTTGCTGCAGTCATTTTGAAGCAAGCTTCCGAAGGTGTCCCAAAACTATTGTTTTGGACTTCAAGAAAGTCTACTTCAAGAAAGTCACAACCACGTCTGCTGCAGAAATTTGAAGCACACTTCCTAAGGTGCTTCACAACTACCTCTACTCCTTGAGCAAGGTCCAGAACCATGTTTGTTGCACTCATTTTGAGGCAAGGTTCTTACCTCTGAACCTTGAACCATTTCCAAAACCATGTCTGCTGCATAAATTGTGAAGCAAACTTCCAAGAGGGTTTCAGAACTACCTGTGCCCCTTGAACAAGGTCCAAAACCGCGTCTGCTGCAGTCACTTGGAAGCATGCTACCCAACGTCTAGCAAAAAATACCACACACTGCTGCTTCACTTTGGAAGCAAAGTTCCAGACACCATGTCTGCTGCTTGCATGTCCGACGCGAGGTCTATAACCACAAATTATGCTTGCACTGCGTGGTAAATCACGTCTGCTGCTTACACTTTTAAACAACTTGCACTACCAAGCTAACTTGCCACGCTCATGTTGAAGTACGGCGCTGTGCTGGTTTCCTTTCCACTGCAAAGTCTAAAACAACATCTTTTGCTATCTCTTTGACAAGCTTCCCAAAGCCGCGTCTGCTGCACACACCTTGAATCAGCTTTCCCTGCCAAAACCAAATTGCTGCTGTCATGTTGAAAGACGGTCGAAACTGGTTTCCATCATTTCCATCCCGCCACGGGTTCTAGAACAACATATTGAACATATTGCTCTCGCTGATTAGCATGCTTTCAAAACCACACGTGCTGCATATATATATATATATATGTATATTTGCCCAGAGCAATTTGCTACTCCTATTCTGAAGCACGCTTACACAAACCACATCAGCTGTTTTCACTTTCGGCGCAACAGTCCAAAATCTTGTTGCTGGCAACATTTGCTGCACTCATTCCCCTTGACACAAAACACGGCAAGCCACAGCAGCAGCTGGAGCTTCAGTCTCCCACGCCACTGTGACATTATAGCTGTAACAGAAACACCAAAGTTGGACTAATATCAAATTTTCACAATCCCAGAATCGAACACCTCCAACAACAGACATCAAGACGTGACTGTTTTCTGTATAAATTATGCATAGAACCTTGGCAGTGGCAGTACAAACTACAAACCTTGAAGGGTCAAAGATACCAGGCGCAACATGTCCGACAAAGCAGGCATGAACTGAAGCTTACTCGAATCACTCCTGCAATGCCCGCAACCGCCGCAACCGTCCCAAGTACAACGGTCGCACCGCCAAGCACCATCTGCAAATACATACTGCTTGCAGACACCGCATGGGTTCTCGTCCCTGTGGACCCTATGCTTCTGGCGCCTCCGTGCCAGTGTAGCTATGTCGAGACCCGTTGTTCTTTAAAAAGAATGCCGTATGACCTTGGGGACAAAACTTTTGTCAAGCCTGCTGACCAAACGGCTCAGACTTAACAGAACGCTCTAGCTTGACGTCACAGGGCTACGCAAAAGTGCCTTTTCCCATTCGAGGGCGCTTGCCCGGATGAACACACGCACAATTATCAGACCACTCTCCTCACTGATGAGGACTGCAGATCCTGATTCAAGCGATGCACAGGGAAAAGCACAAGATGCTCTGAACCTATTGCGCAAAGATGCTGTGGATGCGCATCCTGCCAATCCCGAATACGGCATACAAGGTCAGAAACTAGATCAATTTCTCCAGCTCCGCAATGTTGCCACCACAGGAACTCAGCCAGCAAGTGTTCATATGTGTTCGCTCCAACCTTCTTCACGCCTTTCTTTTGAAGTCAAGCTTTCAAACGACCGAACAACCCCTCTGCAGCATTGCTGGTTACGACTTGTCGCACCCCACAGATCTCGTCGGTGCGAGGAAATTCCTTCTGTTTGTGATTGATACACCTGCGCACGTAGCCGGAGTCTGTCTTGGACAGCCATCGGTATCCAGTGTAAGCATCTGTGAAAACCAAAGAGCCGGGCAACACGAGTCCGAACATGTTTTTGCAAAGTCTTTGCCTTCCTGTCTGGAATCTCCAACAGCAGGCAGCAGACATCTGCCAGCACAGCAGCGACTTGCCAGGTGAACTTCCACCATGCCCAGGATCGAGGCTTTCCGCCGTTTGTCTTTCACGAAGCCTTCGCGAAACCGTTTTTTGTCGTCATGAGTCTCGTCAATGGCGACGTGATTGCCAGAGCCACCAAGCTAGCTTTGTAGTCTACATCGCAATTGCAAGATCGAGCGCAAGCGATACATAAGCTTGCTCCACATCTTCGTGGTGGCAGGAGCTTGCTTTCTTGCAGTGTTGTAAGAACAATCATCACAAAACACATGCAAACACCGCACATATGTGTCGGCAGCCATCGTGCGACAACAATAGTAGGGCAATGTGCCCGGGGGCCTCCACGTGAGCTTCCTGTTGCACCTTTTCTTCCTGGTAGAAGAAGAATCAGAGCAGTGATCCTCATCGTTGTCGTCTGAGCGATGTGCTACAACAGTCTCTCGTGTTGCGCAATGCAGGAAGCAGCTTCCCCGATCTTGGTTCCGATTGAAATTTTGCCACTGATGTGCATTAGAGCGGCAATGTGGAAGCAACACGAGCCCCTACCGGACCATGAGCCACAAGGATTGCTGAGCGGACGGCCAAAGTACTTGAGAAGCTTCCAAAAACTCTTGGCCGTGTTCTAACATCCTTCGAACCCGGTGAAAATCTTGGCCGGGCAAAACTTGATCTGAAATGCTTCCAAACGCTGAGCTTTTACGCGCTCAACACAAACTTGAACCACACACCGAAGAAGCACCAACAACAGCAACCACACCCAAACAACAACAAACGGCTACACTCTCAACAAATTCGAACAGCCAAACGCACGGAAGAACTAAGAGCAACTGCACCCCCAAAACAAACAATAAACATTACAAAACTTAGAACCAACATGTTACACGGCACGCTAATGGGAGATTAAACAACGCATGTTTGCCGAAGTAGACCAGTACACACACTTGCGAGACTTGTAGCGCGACATCCAACAACTTTGCGATCGAGACTTCGAAGAATGACAGAATAAAACTTGCATTGGCATGGAAAACAAAAACACAAAACTAAAAACTAAAAACATGATTCGTGGCACTCTTTTCTTGCATCATCGAAAGCGCCACCCCTGCTCGGTTCATTCCGCCCTGCCTGTGACAGGAACTGAAACCTTAAAATTCGAGGTTCTGAATGAGTGCGAAACCAGCATATAGCTGAAGACACGGGAGCATGCACAGAAGCACAGAGACACTTACAAAAAGAGACTCCATCTCAGACTTTTGACTTTTTTTGATGCAAGCTTCAAAAATTGACCTTTTGAACAAAAGCATATTTAGTGAAGTGAAAGAACATGCAAACCAACACACCGTCTCTTTCAATCTGCAAGAATTTAGCATTACAACAATAACTTCCAAAATGAAAACTGCATTTGTTGCCAACTCTTTGGTGATAGCCAGCGTAGGAAACTGTGTCGTTCCAAGGTGAAGACAGAAGCTTCGATTTTCTTTCTTGGGAGATTTCTGAAAATGGAAACCTTCCAAGAAAGGGTCTGTTCCAGCCAGGGGTTGGATCCAATGAAGGTACAATGACCCGGATGCAGTAGTCTAGCCTTTTAGTCATGGAGCGCTTGCGTCCCCTCTGTTCCTAGACTCCTGCCCAGTGTCGTTGAAGGACGTGCATAGGCTCGCACATGGAAGCTAGCAAAGAAGCGATACCGATCGCAGTCAAGATCGGGTTTCTGCATGTCTATACAGCCTTAATCTCTAGCTCAGTGTCTCCGAGCGGAACGCGCATATTGCTATGCTGAATGTAACGCCTCGGTTACGGGGTCGAAGTCTACCGC